CTAAATTGTGTTATGGAAATACTAATGGATTACACTCTTCAGATCACCAACCTTCTGTTTGTGTGTTGTTTTTTTACAGCCATTGTTAATATAGTGTTTGTGTTTTTAATTAATATTTCATCCTTATTTGCTCAGACATGAATTCATGTCATGTCCCCTGGCCTCGATTTCTTCTTCTAGAAAATGAGAGCACTGGGCTGGATATGGCCACAGAGGTACTTTCCAGCTCTGAAAATCCGTGATTCTCCATGCCACATTTTCAAGTTTTGAATTATTTTTCACTGTACACAATTGATGTTGCCTGTTTCTTGATGATCTTTTTGGTAAACAATCTTCATAGACCTATGAAGTGTTATTTGTCGTCTTTGAGTCTTTGTTAGTCCCTTTTAGATAGAGTGGCACTTCTTGATTTTGGAAAACTCCATACTTGGGACCAATAACTCTTAATCTGCTGACTAGAGATAGAGCTTCAGAAATAAAGAATTTGGATAATATTTAGTAGCAAAATTGCCTAAATTATTATTTATTATAGTAGTTGCTTAATAGTAAACACATTTTAAAAGAATCATTGAATTTAAATCCATTCTCTGAGGATTTCATTTTGATTCTTGCCTGAATACAAAATTGAATTAGTGGAATAGAAGGAAACTAGTCCCTCAATTAAAGGGACTAGTTCCTTTAATCAATTCTTTCTTATTCTCTACTGTGTGATGATACACAATAAAAATGAGAATTGGTCTGCATAAAATTTGAATATATTAACAAGATTCCTAGGTGAGAGTTATACATTCTCCAGCACCGATTAGGTAGCACTGGAACAAGACAGAGCTAGTCTTGAATTATAATTAGAAGTTTGAAGCAAGACTTAGAAGTTTTAAAAAAAGTTTTATGAAACAGAAAATAGTTAAGTTAAACAATATGCAATTTCAACTCTGGGCTTTGTAGCATGTAACATTAGAAATGAAAAATTAAAGGTAATATGATTAAATTAAAAATTAGTTTAAAGATACCTTTTTTAAAAGTCTTGAATTTGGATACACTTATCATAAATAAAAATAAAAATCAATGAGAAGAACTTTCAGAGAAAAGAACGGTTAGGTCAACTATGCAATAATAGAAGGAATAGTGGAGGTAGAAAAATATTTTGCAACCATTATGGAAATGATTGGTTCAGAAGAAGAATCAATGGATGCCAGAAGTTTGAAGAGAAACAGATTATTTACATAATGTCAGAATATGTCCCCAGAGATTAATTATTCATTAAAAGATAAAAATTTAAAAATGATAACTTTAGAGTGGAGAAACCAACACCAACTTACTAAGTGATCAAAGTTAATATCACCAATGATGGGATATGATGAGATATGATTTCTGATGTGATACATTGAGAAAGGAACAACATCATTTATGCAGTATTCCTGCTGAAATGCATAACGTGAATCTAATTAAGTGGAAATATCAGACAGACCCAAAGGGATATTCTTCAAAATGATTACCCTTGTACTTCCAAAAAATTTCAATGTTATGAAAAAGAAAATGTGAAGAATTGTTCCAGATGAAAGAGGCTAAAAAACATGCCCACTATATGTAACAAGTGGTCTTGGATCTGGATTGGAAGAAAAAAAAATCTGTAAAGGACATTATTGGGACAATTGGGAAAAATGAATATAGACTGTATATTAGATAAGAGTAGTGTATAAATGTTAAATTCCTGGATTTGGTAAAGTGCTGTGGTTATATATGAGAACATCTTTGTTCTTAGGAAATGAACACTGAAGTAGGGATAAAGGGATATAATTCTTCAAGTAAGTCTTAAGTGATTCAGGAAAAATATTTTGTGGTATGTATGAGAAAGAGAGAAATCAAATATGGCAAAATGATAACAATCGATGAATATGGTTGAAAGGCATACAACAGTTTTTTGTTCCATTTTTCTGTCTTAGTCCATTTTATGCTGCTATAACAGAATACTATAGACTGGGTTATTTACAATAAACAGAATGTATTAACTCATGGCTCTGGAGGTTTGGAAGTCCAAAAATGAGGGGCTGCATCTGGCAAGGGCCTTCTTGCTGCATTGGAACATGGTGGAAGGCATCATATGGTGGAAGGGCAGGGAGGGAAGGAGGAGGGTGAGAAAAATAGGGCCAAATTTGTTGTTTATAAGAAACCCACTTCTGAGATAGCTGCATTAATCCATTCATGAGGGCAGAGCCCCCGGGGTCTAATCACCTCTTAAAGGTCCCACTTTTTAATACTGTTACAATGGCAATTAAGTTTCAACATGAGTTTGGGAGGGGACAAACATTTAAGCCATAGCATCTTCCAATTCTTCTCTAAGTTTGAAATTATTTCAATATAAAAAATTCAAGAAAAAAAGTGATTATTAGTCACTGCCTGAGGAAAGGTGTTATCTTTGGCTTGAGTCACTTGTCATGGAATAGAAAGCATATGACAGTGTCAAAATGAAGTTGTGGCTCTCCTATGAGACAGAACTGATGGCAGAGTTGGAAGCTGAACTTGCAGTATTATTTATCAGTATAATTTAGAAGATAAGGTTGAGTTTCTTATAACTCTCCTGGAAGATTGTTACCTTATATGGATAATACATTTTATAAATATTAATAAATTCTCATTAATAATAAACTCTCAATACATTTTATAAATATTAATAAACTCTCTAAATATTATAATATATATTATAATATTTATATTTATATATATTATAAATATTATATATTTTTTATATATATATATATAAACATTGCCAAGCACTGGAGCTACAGTGATGACTAAATCTCTCATTCTCAAGTTAATGACAGTTCTGAGGGGTGACAGCTGTTAAAACAATATGTCAGGATAATGCAATCGTAAAAGTAAACATAAGAAACAAGTTAGCAGAGAATACCACAATTAAGACAATATTGAGGGGAATATGGTGGAGGGATGCAATGAGGCACAGGAGATTTCCAGTTGGTGGGGGAGGAGGGGTGGAGTAAGAGAGTATTCCAGGCAAAGGGAGCAGAAGCAGGTGACATAAGAGAGCTTGGGGTGCTTTGGGAATTTTAAGCAATTTGGTATTACAGAAATGAAATATAGCTTTCTGATTTTCCATTTGTAGAAACAAAAAGGTAATTAGTTTTTAGTTTAGTTATGAATATTTATAATACCTCTAAATAGTGTACAATAATTAACACTAGGGAATATGCAGTGCAAACTGATGCTTTGATAAACTGTTTTTATTGTGTATGACATGGCATCTCATTATAAGAGGGGATTCCTCCTTTGACCTTTGTACCTATTGCAGTTTTTGTTGAATTTGGATAATATATGGACTTTTTTAAAGGAAAGAAATTCCCTTAGGTCCAAGGAGTCACATCTTCAGATGCTTAGAGGTTGGTGGATCTCAGTTTGAGAAACACTGAATTAAAAAATGAAAGTCCTTTTTTATGAAAATGTCATTCAATTAGGAGATATTTTGTTTTCAGTTGGCAAAATTGTTTCTGTTGGCAAACAATGAAAAGTCAAAAACTTAATATTCTTAATATGTAAACATCATGCAAATTTATAAGTAATATTAATATATTCATATGCCAATTAGTACATGGGCAAAGGGTCTGAATAAACAATTTACAAAAGCTGAAATAAAAATGACCAATAGGCATTCAAAATGTTTACTTTCAATAATATAATCAAAAAAAGAAATTTAAAAAATGTTCAGCCTATAAAATTAGTAGATATTTTAAAAATTACTATGAAAATCTGTGTGGGTTTTATTTTTTTGTGTGTGAGACAAAGTCTCACTCTGACTCTCAGGCTAGAGTACAGTGGCATCATCATAGCTCACTGCAACCTTAAGCTTCTAGGCTCAAGTGATCCTCCTACCTCAGCCTTCCAAGTAACTGTGACCACAGGTGTGCACCACCATGCCCAGCTAATTTATCTATTTTTTGTAGCATTGGGGTCTCGCTCTTGCTCAGGATGGTCTCAAACTCCTGGGTTCAAGCAATCCTCTTGCCTCTGCCTCCCAAAGTGGTAGGGTTACAGGTATGAGCCACCACGCCCAGCCTGAGAGCTTCTAATAATAGAAAACATTGCAAACAATCTCAATATCCAACAATGTGAAAATATTTAAGTAAAATATGCATTGAAGTGGAATGACATTACTTGGACATTAAATTAATATCTCTGAAGAATTCAAAATAATATAAATGCTTATACTATCATATTAAATGTAAAAAGCAGCAATCAAAAAGTATAATTTTAACCTTGTCAAAGTATTCACAGAAGAGCTAGACAATTATATTATGGTTGTGGAAGATGTTAACATTTTAACAGAGCTGGGTGAAGAGTGTATGTGAACTCTCTGTACTATTTTTGCAATTTTCCTGTGAGTCTAAAATTATTTCAAAATAAAAAGTTAAACAACATACATAGAAAAAGTACTGAAAGGAAAACTACCAAAAATTTAGCAGTGGTTTCTATGCTTTTCTGTAACTTAAATTTTTACAGACTTATGTGTTGTATAGTCATTAAAAAGAAAAGCACTCCCCCTAAAATTAAAACAGAGAATAAATGTTGAACTCAAAACAAAAATGTCATATATCACAATTTTGTAATCAGTGTGGCAGCAAAGCATAAACACCTAAATGTAAGTGTTAAACAAAGGGTGAATGTGGGTGGAAGATAAGATAGAAACATCAACTGGTTAGGATGCATTTTACAGGTGGAATGTGAGGTGTGAAAGTAGATAAGGAATAAAAATAAGGACTGGCACAGATTCAAAAAGCTGTGGCACTGAGAATTTTATTTTAGGAATAAAAAGGAGAAAGGCTTCTTCTCAAAAGAGTAGATACCTGCAGTATTTTATGTCTAATTTTCTGGGTTTTTAAACAGGGTAAATCAAAGTAAGTTATGAGAGTATTCCCAAAAGGTTGATTTTTGATGAATTAAAACCATTTGCTTTAGATAACCATCTTCATACTTGTTTTTTATCACAGACTCCTTTCTAAGCAACTCTGCTGTGATTGAGGCCTTCTTTCTGAAGACACCCTCTTATCTTAATGAATGATGAAGGTAATCACCTACTCGAATTAAGTCCCTCTTGCTCTGGACTTTTGTGTCAAATATTCTTCTTTGTTCAATATTAACTAAGAGAAAATAGAAAAATGAAAATACATTATAGTGTTATTAGGGGCTGCACCTGAAAAACTACAGTATATTCCAGGTTGTGGTTCTCAATCTTTCCCTATCTCAAGGTCCCTGAGATGCATGGCATCGTCCCTGCTGTCCCTGGGGATTCCCCGTGGCAGTGCTTCTTGGGAATGCGACAAGCAGGGGCTGTGAGGTTGGTAAAGCCCCATCCCCAGGCACACTTAGGTCAGCTTGGAAACTGCTCCCTTTCTCCTGCATCGCCCTTGTCCCCAAGAGTTATTGCTAGAACCAGAATCTTTTTGTTCTAACATTTTATCACAGAGGATTATTGTTTTAGCCCCCTTCCCCATATCTGGACAAAGCCAGAGCTTGTTCCTTAGAGAAGCAACATGGTGTCAGAAGTTGTTCCCTGGAGAAGGAACGTGAGGCTCCACCTCAGACTTTGCTGCTGATTCAAACTATTTCTGTCTCCTTAACTTGATTTTAAGCCCCTTATTGGCACAGACCAGGTCTTATCCATCTTTTTACCCTATGCAGATTTAGCCTTTGACTTTTGAAAGGGTGGTTATTTAGTAAATGTTTATTGAAAATGAATACCATTTCCTTAAGGGCAAATTTTATTCCTTCATGAAGGAAAATCTATCCCTTGCTATGAAAAAAAAAAAAAAAAGTAAAATGTGGCATAAGTACAAATTAAAGTAGAAAGTACAGAATGTGTAGCTTTAAGTTAAGCAGCAGCTTTGATCTTTGACTGAGTATATTAAAAAAGATTAAACGAATTATTAAAAATAGGATCTAAAGGTTCTGTCTAACAAGACTGTAAAAGAGGGCCCAAGAAATGTTTCAATCTATGCACGCTCTCAAAGGCTGCAAATACTTTGTACTGTGTGGGCAATCACTGATGGGGCGTCTGTCTGATCCTGTGAATATGTTTACAGGGGATAGTATGTCCAGGGCCTCTGCCCTTTGAGTGTGTATTGCTCCTTGTCTCTCAAGTATGAAAACTGGGGAATGACTGACTTAAAAGACATTTTCTGTTATGCATGTGTACAGTGTTAATATACTCATGCCTAGGGCAGATTATATTAGAATTTTAAGCCTATTTGCTTTTCTGTACAAGAGAATAACAATAATTATCTCACAGACTTAATGATTAAATTGTTACAGTGCCTGAGATATAGTATTATATTTATATACTAAATAAATGGTGATTTTCATTATTGTTCATAGATAGAAATTGAGAAGCATGTTACAAATGGTTAAGTGAATTTCAAATAGAATTATTAGGGCAGTATTATATTACTTCAACTGCATTGTAGTTTAGGTTTGGCTTATGTTAGCGGAAAGCAAAGTGTTGCTATTATGTCTAACAATACTTTAAGGGAAAACAATTTCTCAAAACTATGTACCTGGCATGCTCCTGGTGTTTGGTAACTATGATACACTCAAAGTTGAGTGTTACCCTTTTACATGTTGCTTATCTAATATTTATCTTTTTTTCTGAATGTTGACCGTTAGATAACCTAGAAGAGATATCACAACTTTCACCATCAGAAATAAACCATTTCTTTCACAGTAGCATCCACTTTTAAAAAATTTCCACTAATTAATGATTCTGTTGGCCTCTGTTTAATATTGAATAGCTTGCATGCCTTTCACTTTAAGTTAATGAATGACTTTCTCCATTTATGAGTCAGAATCCTTGGACTTGAATCATTACTCAGCTCACTCCATGAGGACATTTACTTTTTATTTTTTAATTCATACTGGGGTTTTTGTGCACATGCAATGAAATGAAAATACTAAGTTGGTTAGAAATCTGCCACAAAAATCTTAGAAAATAATAGATCTTGGCAAAAACTTATTCAATCATAGGACAACACTTGGATACTTGTTAGAGTGGAATGGAAAATCTGGCACCACTATCAGTAGAAAACATTCATTGGATATAAAATTACCTGTGAAGGTGTGCTAGGCGTTATAAGAGAAACTCATCAAGAACAGTGACCAAAAATTACTTATACAGAATTGACAGATGAGCAGAATAAAAGCACTGGGCTATATCCATGGGCACTGTGGTCTTCATTATATAGAGAAAAGGTACAAAGGAAAGTTTGTGAAAAGGGTTAATTATATGACTAAAGTAGAGATAAAATTTAAGACTTTCATGTCTTCTTGTTAGATTGATGGATAATAATAACAATGTGACTATGTTCTCTTGAATTTGTCAGGAGATAGAGCATTTTGGTTTTGGTGACCACTGGGACAGGGCAACAGGACCTCAGGACAGAATCAGGGAGAGTGACAACTGTTACTCTTTGGAGTGGATTCTTCAAGGCAGACCCAGACCCTGGGTGAGGCTGGTGCCTTAGAGCCTGGTGCCCTAGTATCATATCTGCCTCATTTCAGAATGTGCCACTGGCTTCTCTGACTGGGGTAGGGGTCATGGAGGGAAACACTAATATTTTTATGCAGATAGTTCCAGGGCGATGTAGGGTTTCAGGGACAACAAAGAGAAATGCCAAAGCTGAAGATAACCAAGATGAGACTTGGACAAACTATTTAGCACTAAAAATTGCCTCAAAGAGGAATAATAAATTTCTTGTGAGCCTAATGTGAATTTTATGTTTCCAAATTCATGCTTTAACAACAAATCCAATAGATATTTAAACAAGATTTTCACGCTAACAGTTTACCCAGTCTTTCTACTTTAGCTTAAATGAGAGTGCCTCAATTCACTCTTTATACACTTCTTCAATTGAAAGAAAGTCTTTATAGAATGTCTCAAAGCACACTGAGGATTTATTTGTATTAATTATTAATAGTAACATCTTAATTTCACTAAATGCCAATAAATGCTATAACTTATGTTCACTTTTTTCTGTCATGAAATTGCCTAAAAGATAATTTTCATTGTAAAATTTAAGTATTATGTCATAAACATTTCAAGAAATAAGAATCCATCTATATTTATTTCAACACCTCCACATCTACATCTATATTTATATCCACACCTTCATCTACATTGTGTCTGTATTTATACTGTCCAATGGTCATACCTTCGAGCATACTAATATTACAGAATATAGAAGTTGACTTATTTAGATGGAATTAATAAAGTAAAAAATCATATAAAAATTAAACATACACGAGTAAGAAAAGACTAATAAATGAAGGTAAAGACAATAACACTTTTTCTCCTACCTCAAGGCAAGTATAGCTGATCAAGACCCATCTGTTCATTCTTGGATTTTCTATTCTGCTTCTGTGGTTGGCCTCAATCCTGCAGCAGTGTTGACGTCAACCTGGGAATATTACAGAGAAGATTATCATAGCCCCTTGAAAAGATGCCTCACCAATTTGTAACGTTGCCATATTTTTGCAAAGTTAATTACTTCTTTCTTTGAGTTCCCGTGGCATGTTGTGTGTACATTAGCTATCATCTCACTGTATTATAATTATTTGTTTACTTCTCTGTCCCTCTCGTCGTGAAACAGAATTTTTAAAGAAAGAAATTATCGTTTGTATCCATAGTGGCTAGTGCAGTGCTTGGATTCTAAAAGGCATCCAGAAAATGTTTAATGAATGAATAAAAGAATGAAAAATATTTATAACCTATGTGTAAGAAATAAGCCAGCAGTTCTGTGTATATAGAATGCTAAACCAGAAATGGATTCTGAAACAATTAATAATTTTCTTCCCTCTTCATCTTGTCTTTTCAATGGCAGAAATTCTATGTTAATGTGATGCCCACTGGCTACCTCCTATTGATAGCTAGGGGGCACAGCTCAGTTTGATGATGGACAGAGAAGCTTGCTGTTGTTTTTGGCCATAGGACTGTTTCTGCCTACTGTGTTAGATGCATCAAACATACCTTTCTTTCCTTCTTCCTTTTTCGGGATTGTACGTATTTTGCTCCTAACATTGTATAGGTCACTATATTTAAAATGTTAAGAGGCCATAAACAGGCTCTGGAAGACAGATAAGCAAAAAATATTCTTAAAGATACTATCTAACACAAAAGAAGTGGACTCCACGGAAAAGAGGCCACAGCACATTGCTATCATTCAGTTGATGAGGAATAGATTTTCTCTCTTTTACTGTAGTGAGATTGGTTAAATGAGAAATAAAGTTGCTACATATTTCTGGAAAAAGAGATCCAGATTGTGGTACCAATTTTAATTGTTCACCTAGATGATTGTACAGTATTATAATTCACTCAAATTTCACATATAATTACATACTTGAATAATTACATATAATTACATATGAATGTTACATATAATTACATATATGAATAGTTGTCACTTCAAATTAGCAATATAAACTACAGTTGCATAGATAGGACACTGGCGTGCTACTTAAGTTTTTAAGCCATATATAACATTCAGAATCATTTTGTATAGGTATTTTCTTTACTAGTAAAAAGGAAATGAAAGAAGAAATTTATTTATTTATTTTTTATCATGGGGACAGTTTTCCTGTGTTTTTCACACAGTCCTCAGGACTACACTGTGAAATAAGTTTTGTAATGATTATTTTATAAGAGAGAAAACTTTGGCTCAGAAATATTAAGTAATTTGCTTAGGTTGCAGAGGTAAGTGACAGAACTGATTCAAAATCAAGTCTTTCCAACTCTCACACGTATTATCTACCTACTATGTAGAGATTTAGCCACATATAGTCATTTTTCAAAGAATTTGGGTTTTTATTATAAAAATGATAGTGTTTTAAAGGTTTTTCAGTAATTGTGAATGGTGTCTCAGATGCCAACTAAAAACATTTCTGCTAAGTGAGTTGGGGTACTTTATGCTTTTCTAGATGAATAAATGTATTGACTAAAAAAAAGAATTCAGTAATATGATACAGGGGAAGTGATCTCTGATTTGTTGGAATGATGAAGCCAGAAAGCAGAGTGCTCC